GGGAATGGAAACTCCAGTTCTGCCATGTGTACTTTGTGAGATAGACCTGTTTTGGATCAAAGGGAAGAGTAAGCGAGGTGAGAAATGAGGTGCGTCCAGGCCCCAAACGTGCTGACCACTGGGAGGGATATTATTCAGAACACGTTTGCTCACCTATTGGCCTCTGATACATGGACGAGAGTATGATTTTAGTCTGGAGGTCTTAGAAGAGCTGCCCAAGTTAGAACAGTTCCTCCAGCAACTGATTTGATGATGGGGCCAGAGCGTTTGGGAGATGAAAAATTCCAAGAAGGAAAGCAGATCGGTGTAAGGCAGCATGAACCTTTCTAAGAATGAAAATGGTTGCCTTAATTAGGATAGCTAGACTGTGCTTTTTTCAAAAGTAGGATAATGGAAACTGTCCACAACCGTATCTCAATTCCTAGAACCTCTCAATATATTACACTACATAATGTGGAGAGATTAAGGTTGCAGATGGAATTAAGGAATCAGATGACCTTCAGAAGGAGAGGATATTCTACATTATTCAGGCGGGCCCGATGTAGTGACAGTTATCCCTATAAGGAGAAGATGACTGCAACAGAGAGAATAACACAAGAACCATTGCATTTTTCATCATGAGGAAGTCTAGGTCTGCCTTTAAAGATGAAGAAGGCAATGAGCTAAGGAAAAGGGCAGTCTCTCAAAGCTGGAGAAGAAAAGGTTCTCCTCAAAGCCTCCAAAAGGTACACAAGTCTGCAGATCCCTGATTTCACCCCAGCACACTCATTTCAGACATTCTTGACTTCTGGAACTGTAAGTCAGTACATTTGTGCTATTGCCAGACACTGTGTTTGTGGTAATTTGTTACAACAGCAATAAAAACTAATAAAACACCAGAGAGAATTGTGCCTAACATATCTTTAACTATATTTATAACTTGTATTCGAAGAAATGACGCAAGCTAGACAGGCTTCGTGACAAAACCTCACAAAGGGCTAAGGATGAGAGGGAGAGCTGGGTGAGTGCACATGGTATTTGTCATTGGTTTGGTTCGCAGCCTAGCCCCCTGGGGAGGAGCTCTGTCAAGGGGAGGGGGGTTCAAAGTAATAATTTAAATAACTGTTTTCAATAAAAACAAGCATAAGGCAACAAAGAAGTATTGCCTTGGAGTTTTGCTAATACGGTACAAGCTCAGAAGGCAGATTTTGTGCTGATTTTGCTTGATTTTGTGCTCCAGCTGTATGGACTGTAAAGTACTCTGGAGCCACAGAAATGACAAGGATTTTGATGCTTGATGTGTGGAATCATAACTGGCAAAGCCTAGAAGACTCAGTCATTTGTGTAATAGCTATAAAAGAGTTCATTAAAAAGGACATTGACCGAGTGCAATGGGGCACCAAAGAGACAGCAGTACCCAGTAGATGCCCTGTGGTAGCTGGTCATATTTGTTTGTGGATGGAGCAGAGGCCCCTCGGAAATGGGCAGGCAGAACCTCGTGGCTGGCTAATAGTTCTGTATGAGCAGGGGAGAGGCAAGGCTGTCATTCTTCATGTAACTCTTTCATAGCACAAGGTTGGAGTGGCCAGGGGTTCTGAAGATTATCTGACAGTACCCCAGACTATAACAATGATGGGCATGAAAGAAAAGAGAGAATTCACTGGTAATACTGGGACAGGACCAAACTTTCCTGGGAACTTTGTATCCGGGACTTCTGAAATATTTCTATGTGAGATCTAAACCAGATTTAAGCCTAAGGCAAGAGAGCTGTGAGGCAAATTAAATTGCTTTGTTACCAAACTGTTAGCAGAGCATTTTTCATCAACAGTGCCTTCACTGATGTGGTATCAGCCTTATAGAAACTCATACTGGAAAATAAAAGACATAACATTCTGACTTAGACCTACATCCTGGAGAAGTCAGATGTTTAACATCAAAAGAGAATGTGCTCTTATTTCTGTCCAAGAGCAGTGTTTAATAAAAGAGAAGGCAAAATGCTCCTATGAGGAAGAACCTAAAAGTGCTCTTTAGCATTATGAAGTGCGTACAAACGAGGACACAGAAGTAAAGGGTCTTGCCCACTTGCACCAGTTAAGGGCACCTTGACAACTTCTTCCTGAGTGCTCTGTGTGTGAAACAGTCTTCAAAAGAGTCACATCATTCTGCTACAAGACAAGAAGTTACTTTAGCCTCTCTTTCAAAGTGTTTCCTCAATGCGTTCCAGTGTTGCTGATGGTTTTCTCTCTAGTCTTGGACTTACAAACTGTCCTGTTTGTTGCATGCTTCTCAGGATGTACTCCTGGAGATCTCCTGCACTTTCTTTTTGGTTTGCCATATGTGTTAAGTAAAACTCCTGCCATTTGCTTTGATGAGACTCAAAGGTACATCTCAGGGAGGAAAGGAAAGCCCTTACTTGACAAGATGAACAGGGAAAAGCAGAGATTGGTTGGATTTAATCAGAGCTCACACAGACATCAAGAAAAGCAAAGCTGTAAAGAACCTCTTTTAACTGATTCAAAATCAAACTCAGTTACCAGTTTGGGGCAGCTACAAATCCCAAACCATGGACCAGGTTCCTACACAAGCTCATTTAGCCACATGAGCTTCTAGATAAGTGGCTCTTTGAAGTCTATTTTCATGTTTTTGAGATATAGATAAGTCATTGTTTTATTTCATGGCACTTTATTGAAGCAGAATAAAGTAAGGAAAAATCAGAATGCAAAGTCAAAAAACTAGAACTCAAGACTAGACCCTCCTACTTCCTGGCAGTGTGATTAATATATGGCTTAATATTTCTGAACCTCAAGTTCTACTTCTGTAAATTAGAGAAAGCAATCCCTGGATTTTTGCCCTCACAAAACTGTTACGAGAACAAATGAAGAAAGGGCACGTGAATTCTGTGCAGTACAGAATGTTTTATTAAATGTTAAAATAATTAGTCTTGGGTAGAGCTTATGAGGTGCATAACGTGTACAGCCTATAGCCCAGAATCTCAAGAAATTTAGAGTCCAGGAGGAGGGATGGGGTAAGTATGCAACTAACTATGAGATATGGTGGAATACAGCCAGTATCATGAGACCCTCAAGGACTTAGGGACTCGGAGAAGTGAGAGGTCGTAAGAAACAAGCCTTAGTTACAAGTTGAAGAGTGAGCAGCATTCCAGAAGGATGCGGAGAAAAACACCTCAGAGCAAGCAGCACATGCCTGGAATTTCCAGACTGTGCTTGAAGAAAATGAGGAGACCCTCATGGCTGGAATCTAGTGCCTGACACGGAAGGAAAAGGCCCTGAGGAGATGGCCTACAATCCTGGAGCTATGCAACCTTGGGAAATGAGCATCTCATATTCCAGTAACAGAGCTGAGTTTCATTTGAGAAGAGAGTTAATAAGGCCATTGAAATTTATCCCTGCAAAGAGTTTTGTCCTTACTTTAAAATTTCCACTTGCCAGTTTCCTCCCATTGAACTGATCCTCAGTTGGGGTTTGTTGTTCTCATTTTTAAAATCTTCTCTATTAATTAGAGAGTATGAGCCTTCTTAACTAATATCCCACTGGATTCTTGTGCTTTTCTCATATCCCTAGCCAGGTGCAAGCTGAGGAAAGCTTATAGATAAAAAAGCCCAAGGTGAACTGTAAATATGCCAGAAGTCACAGCCTATTATCTTCCCTGCAGCTTCTAAACAAAGCATGGCAGTTAATTTCTCTGGCCCACACATGCTTTAGGTACCAGCACCCCCATGGCCACACCAGAGTTCCTAGCTGCCTTGCAGCTGAGGAGTGAACTGTGCTGAGCTTCTTGATACATTGTATCCTTCTTGCTGTCTCATCTTGTTACTTTTTATGCACAAGAACTGCAGCCCCTGCAAATCTGTGCGCTTAATCCGGGGCCCTTCTTACACTGTAGACCCACTTGATCTCATTCCTTTCTCCTCTCATCAACTGCATCACGCGAAAACGGACTGTGCCAAAAATGTGAACCTATGCAGTGTAGTTAGTGTGAAATCAAAAGAAAGGTTTAAAAACATATTACCTACTATTTCTAAAATTGTTTCCTTTTGCCAACACCTACACTTTACTGCCCATCAAATATTTTGATCTGATCTACTAGTTATTCCATACATAGAATTTTAATGTTTTAAATAAAGCTATTAGAAGCTCCAGTGTCACATATTTTCTCTTCAACCTACTGAAATGCCCCTAGTAGTCTTACAGTTACATTTTGATTTGTACTAAACATATTTTAAAAGGTCTCAAATATTTTCTTAATATTTTCAGTTTTCAATTCTGGAGCACAACTTTTATTAAATAATGAAAACTTCAGCCTAGACAATTTGTGATTTATTTAGTCTATACTAAAAGTTTCTCAGGCTTTCTTTTTCTACATGTGTTATAAATGTAGAGAGAGGTTTACAAAACAGTTATCACCAAAAGAACTCCTAATGATCATTTTTTGGATTTATAGATCAACTTGAATAAGATAATAGAAGAATTATTAAGTAGATAATAATTCTTAAAAGTTTTTATTTTTACAGAAGTTTAAATTTTTAAAAGTTTAAATTTTAAAAGTTTAAAGTTTTACAGAATTGTAAGATTTAGGAAATTCATTCAACAAGAAATGTACTTTCACAGCCTTAATCTTTTCTTTCTGGTAGCATACCATGTCCAAGGGTGAAGATACATACAGTAAAATGAATGAGAATATTATTATATCACCATGAAAAACTATCATGTATTTGACATATGTTCGGGCTTTTAACTCCATCTGTTGCATAGGATGAGCTTATTACAGAGTTCAGATGTCCAACACAACCAACACTGTCCATCCCCCTCAGGTCCCAAAACTTGATAATAAACAAGCCAAACTTGCAAATAGCTGTTTGGCATCAAATGAAACAATTTTATCGGCCTTTCAATTGGCAATCTGATGTCAATTGACATCAAAGATTTAATATTCTTATCATTTAAAATGAAGATAAATTATGATATTACCTAACAAATTATAACCTGACTCAGGGGACTTACCTGCAGTATTTTAATTGCTCTTTGTGATGGAAAGCCTCAGCATGCCATCCTGCTGGTTTTCCATAGCACACAGGATACAATAATAGGTGTGAAAACTGCAAAAAAAAAAAAAAATGACATTCAGCTGAACAGATCTAAAACAAAGGGTAAAGAACAAAACAATGCCAAGAAAGAAATATTCTGGCTGAAACCATCAGGCAGTCACATGGAAAACTGTTTTAAAAGAAAAGTCTGACTACTAGAGTTGAAGTTTTATGAGGGCAGTGACCGAGTCTACCTTGCTCATCACTGTAATTCCTATCTTTCCTAGGAAAGCATCTGACATACGGTTTGGTGGTTGACAAATGTTTGTTGAATAAGTGAATGAGCAAATATAAAAATTTATTCCTAAAAAATAGATAAAATTTAGGAAAGTGGGAAACTATAGTAAGATAGTTCTATAGGCAATTTAATAACTCATCCTTATTCACTAAACAATAAACTTCTGAACTCTTACGTGTCATATCCTGCTACACACTGATGATAAAAAGGCTCACAGTCTAAAGTGAGAGACACAATCAGTCAATCATGATGATGCTTGGCCTGTTTGTGAAAGATAAAGTAGCCAAGTGTGCTTAGAGTTGTTTCTCCATCTTTTCTTTGTCCTGTGGATCTTTGAGTCTGTTTCTTTCCTAGTACTATACTGTTTTTATGACAGTAGTTGTGTCTGTGACACAGCTGTGTCCTATGTCAGATTCAGGACTGGCATACCCTGTGCCTTAACCTTGTTGCCTAGGATTGCTTTTGCTATTCTAGGTCTTTTCTTGTTCCATGTGAATTTTAGTATGTTTTCTCTCATTTTGTGAGGAATTCTATTGGTATGTTGATTGGGATAGCATTAAGTCTGTGTATCAGTATTGGAAGTATGACCATTTTCATTATACTGATTCTGACTCTCTCCAAGAATAGAGGATATCTTTCCATTTTCTGATATTCTCTTTGATCTTCCTTTTTATAGTACTATATTTTTCAGTGTACAGGTCTTTCATTAGATTGATTCTACAGTATTTAATTTTTCTGGAGTCTATTGTGAAAAGTGTGATTTTTCCTAATTTCTCTCTCAATGAGTTTGTTATTCATGCATAGGAATGCAATTGATTTTTGAGTGTTGGCTTTGTATCCAGCTACTAATGAATTTGGTTATTAAATGTACAAATCTTTTGGTAGATATTTGGGGGCCTTTTATTTAGGCTATTCTATTATCCACAAATAATGATAATTTTACTTCTTCCTTTCCTATCCATTTTTCTCTTATTTCTTTTTCTTTTCTAATTGCTTTGGCTAATGTGTTCAGAACTATATTGAACAGGAGTGGTGATAGTGGTCACCACTGCCTTTTTTCTGATTTTAAGAGTGAAAACTTTCAGTTTTTGAACATTTAGTGTGATGTTGGCTGTTAGTTTGTCACAGATGGCTTTTATCAGATTGAAATAAAGTACTATTCCAATTTCCTGAAGAGTTTTTATCATGATTGTGTTTTGGACTTTGTCAAATGTTTTCCTGCGTCTATTGAGTTGATCACGTGCTTTTTGTCCTTGCTTTTTTAATGTGGTATATTATTTTATTGATTTGCATATATTAAACCTTCCCTGCGTTCCTGGTATGAATTCCATTTGGTCATGGTGCATAATCTTATTGATGATTTGCTGCATTCTGTTTGCCAGTATCTTATTGAAGGTTTCTGCATGTATATTCATGAATAAGATTGACCTGTAGTTCTCTTTTTTAGTTTGCATCCTTCTCTGGTCTTGGTATCACAGGAATACTTACTTCCAGGAATGAGTTTGGGAATATTGCTTCCCTTTCAGTTTCATCAAAGGTTATAAGAAGTAGTGGCATTGCATCTTCTCTAAATTTCTTGTGGAATCCAATGGGATCTGGGTTTTCTTTGTTGTTGTTTTCTTGAATTAATTTTTTAATTTCATTAACATTATTTTATTTAGAATTTTTATGTCTTGTTGAGTTGGTGATTCATATGTACTATATCAAGGAGTCTGCCATTTCTTCTAAATTTTTAATTTAGTACAGGTTTTAAAAGCAGTATTGATGATCTTCTGGATTTCTTCAGGAGCTGTTATGCTTTCACCCTTTTCATTCCTACTTAAATGGATTTGGGTCTTTTTTAAAATAAGATTTTTTAAGGCTTTATCTATTTAATTTAATCTTTCAAAGAATCAACTCTTTGATTCATAGTATTGTTTTCTTAGTTTCATTTGCATTAATGTCTACTCTGTTCTTCATATTTCATCTATGCTTTGAGTTTAATCTGCTCTTCTTTTTCTAGATGCTTGAGGTTCAACATTAGTTTATTTATTTGAACTCACTCTGTTTTTCTGATATAAGAATTCACTGCTATAAATTTCCCTCATAGGACTGCTTTCACTGCATCCCATAATAAGTGATTCTGGAAAAACTAGCTTTCTACATCCCAAAAGTTGAACCTGGACCCATATCTTCTACCATATAAAAAAACTAAAATAGAAATGGATCAAAAATCTCAACATGAAAACAAAAGCAATCTTCTAGAAGATAGAATAGATAAAATTCTAGAAGATAAAGGTATAGGCAAAGACTTTAAAAACAAAACCCTGATCACACAAGAAATATTACAAAGAATCAACAAGCAGGAGCTTTTACATAGCAAAATTAAAATGCTTTTGCACAACAAAGTGAGCCACAACAGAGTGAAGAACAACACAGAGAATGGGAAAATTTTTTATCAGCTACTCCTCAAAGAACATCTAGAATGGACAAAGAATTTTTTTAAAAAATCCCCAATTCAAAGACTCAGTCCAAAAATGTGCATCTAAAGTGAGTTACAATTCTTAGACAAAGAAATACAAAAGCAAATTAGTACATGAAAAAATATTTAACATCACTGGTTATGCAAGAAATGCAAATTAAAACAAAGCTGTGATTCTATCTCACTCTAAAAAAAAATGGCTATCAAGAAATCACCCAATAACAAATGCTGTTGAGGCTGCGAGGATAACAGAACCCTCCACTGCCGGTAAACTAGAACAACCACAATGGAAATCAATGTGGAGATTCCTCCATATTGAGGAATAAAACTATAGGTTCCATTTGACCCAGCTACTCCCATGCTAGGTATCGTCCCAAAAGAGTTAAAAGCACCACAGATAAAGCATTCCCATGTATATAGCAGCACAACTTATAATAGCTAAATCTTGGAAACGGCTCATATGCCCATCATAAGATGAACAGATAAAGAAGATGTGACATTTGTATACAATGGAGTACTATTGTGGTGTAGAGAAGGGTACATTTGAGTCATTTATAGGAAAGTGGATGTACCTGGAGACTCAAATCTTGAGCAAAATAAATGAGACACACAAGTTTATTCTATTGTTTCTCATGTGTGAGAAACCCAAAGGGTAAATAAAGAGCAAAATGAAGGATGCATGTTGGGAAGTAGGATGAACATGTTCAGATGGGAAGGGGACAAGGAAGGAGGGAGAAAAGGAAGAAAAAAGAGAAATAATAGAAACAAAGCTTTTGCAAATGAGGATGAGGAGAAAGGTTGAAGGAAGAGTAAGGGAGTAGGAAAACCAGAACTGAGATATTTTATGCACAGGCACAAATTCCCTATGATGAGCCTGATAAATTAGTATTAGTGAAAACTAAAGTTAAGAAAACACAAAGTGAGAAGACTGTGACTGGAGTTTGAAAAATAGTCACGAGAACATAAATGAGAAAATTCTTAACTCCTCATAGGGGGAGACCTCAGGGAATGTTACCCAGAAAAGGTGCCATTTGATGTGGAGATAGACAGATGAGTAACTAGGTAATTTGCAAGACCATCAGAAGAATGTTGTGAGCAAAAGGAAACACAGGCAAAGGCACATAAGCATGAGAACATATTGTGATTTGTGGTATTTCCTGATAGCGTGTGCGAGGTACACACTGCACCTGGAAACACACACATGAAGCACAGAATAAAGGCCACTGTGAGCTCTGCTCCCAGACAGGGGCCAAACGTGGAGACTGAGAAACTTTCAAGGACTTTAGGGAAGCAAGACACACGCAAATTGTGTCTTTGAATTGTTATCTTTTGGATTTAGAAGACTGGCTCATTGCAGACTAATCTTGTCAAGAGGTAATTTAAAGGATAGATTTAATATTTTTAAGGTTCTTACTTTGGGCACATTAGAGATTGCTAGGATTGATTGATTGATTCATTCATTTAGTCAACCTTCATTTATTTGGGGAACATTGAACCAGATTCTTTTTTTTCTCATTTTTTATTAGTGTATATATACTGTTTACACTTTGTGGGGAGTTGGTACATGTACAATCACTCAGGAGTTAAAGGGTCAGCCTCAGAAACAAGAGAAAGTCTCTGCGGTGAGCACAACGTCCTACATCTCTTTTTTCCTTGAGGTACTTCCAGTTCATAAACACCATGGATGAAGAAGCATAAAAGCAAAGAAGCAAACAATGCTAAAAGACAGAAGTGAACAAAGCTTTCAGCAATCTTATGGAGATAGACAAATTGGAGTTCAGGGCACCAGGGCAGTGAAGACTTGAGGGGGTCAAGATTCAGGAGAGAAGGGAATTACAGAACAGCAAAAGCAACTGTCTAAAATCCTCAAGGTTATGTGTCAGTCTGTAAGCTGTACAGGGAGATAATTTAAGAAGTTGAGAGGAGTTACAAATTTAGATTTTTTTTACTCTTAGATATCAAACTATAAAACTCTAGAAAATAGATAATACATAAGATCTATCTAACTTTGTATTTAAGAATGGCATTTTAGATACAATATTAAAAACATGACTTGTGAAATAAAAACTTGATGAGTTAGACTTCCTTTATTGTAAACCCTGCTCTGTGAAACACAATAGTAAGATATGAAAAGACAAACTATGATGGCAGAAAAGTGCAAAACAGGTATTTGATAAAGGACTGTTATCCAAAATGTACAAAGCACTCTTAAGGTTCCACAATGTTAAGCAAACAATCTAATTTAAAAATGGAAAATTTTTGTACAGTTAACTCACAAGGGAAGATATACAGGCATACTAAAAGATGTTTAAT